CACGCGTGATTATATAGGCTGTTCTTTAAAAGAACACTGTAATAGTTCAATCGATCTCTAATAATAGTGTTTTTATAATCAACAAATATAAAGTAATTAGTTCATTTAGTATTGTGAATGTAGTATAATCATAAAAAATATTAGGTAATAATTTCGTAAGTTTTATTATTTTAACTAAGAAAATTTTGTTTTAAATGATTTAAATTGGTGATATAAATTTGTCTATGTCAATCTCCATAAATTATATCTATAAAAAATCACGTTGATATGTTGGTTATTAAATACATGAAATGTATATAAACATACATACTTTCACATTTATTATATTACCAAGGGTTATTAAACTAATGTTCAAAAACAAACATCAGCCTGTATATTAAAACCATTCTTCAATAGAGACTAAAGGCGGCAAGTAGCTGTCTTGTGCGACAATATTTATGCCCGCAATATTAACTCGTATGCGACTATACATGATAGAATTTCCAAAAATCCAATTATTAAACAATATATTAACAACGAGACAGATATTAATTTGTTATAATTCTTTTACTAAAAATTTTAATATTTGTATACTTATACGAAATATCTGATCTCTTTGTTACATTAATTTACTTAGGGTATATCAATGTAGCTTCAGAATATTTTCCAAATAAATATCCTTCTACTCATTTTATCCTCACAAATGTAATATTGACGATCAAAAATAAAATATATATATCAATAAGCATAATCGGTAAAGTGTCCGAAATAGAAATGGAAGGGCGTCGCATCAAGGTCCATTCGCCCCGGGCAAATATAAAAATCATTCATATGGACAAAATAAAATTGCATCCCAAATAACCCGGCGCTCATCGGCCAAAATCTATTAGCAATAAATATGAAGTTTTCCGATTTAACCGGATTTAAAATGGCTGAGAGTCGATAATAAAAACGAAAAGTTCAGGTTTTCTGGTTTACGACATTGTAGTTTGGTTCGTCGACTTCTTACACTTTATTGTGGCAAAGTTATGTTTTATTAAGTACTATGCAAATTAGGAACACTAATATTTTGTTTGTTTTGTGCAAAATTATTCCTTAATTTAGATTTGATCCAATACTCGAATTTAATAATGAAAATATATTCTATATAAATAGAATGGCGATGGGCTGATATTTTAACAATAACAGTATTAATATTTTTATTATAACAGAGGTTACGGAATTGTTGAAATTCAACCCCTGAAAGGAAAAGGAGTAGTTAATTTTGTATGTAAAAAGTGGATGCGGGCTATGGTAATGTTAAAAAATCACCCATAAAACAATCACATATCATAAAACAACGTACAATACGCATTTTGGCTTAGGTATATTATGTAATTTTCATTATCTTGTAAAAAATCGATATTAATTGGTAGTTGTAATATTAGATCGAATTATTCTATCCAATACAATTATTTGACTATCGAGTTGACACGATGAAGGAACCATGAAAGTGTATAGTTATTTATACTACAGATTTTGCTTTTTTCAAATTAGTTAGTATTATCTTAATATTTCAGCTATATAATGATAAATATAGTGATTCGATCTCGCATATTAACGTAACTTTTTGCAATAGACTAAATCCCAAGGAATGCTTTCATGCACTGGAATAAAAAGTCATCATTAAGAAAGGAAATTAAAGTCATATGTATATGTGCTAATCTCAATATATCAGTACCTAGTCTGTCTATGTTTCATCCAATATATTTAATATAATATTAAATATTCATAGTTTGTAAAATAGGATCCGATTTTTTTTAAATGGTATGTTTGGTTTGATTTGGTTAATTGGAAATAATTTTTCATTGAATGTTCTCCAGTTCAAATCTGATTTATCACAAATCTGATCTATAACAAATTATCATGATAGTAGCACACGTTCATAGTTGCAGGTTCGATCGTATTTATCGTTTTGATGCAATGTTCGTTGAATCACTATCCTAATTTTTATATAATACTTGAATATTATGTATTACTAACTAGCGACTCACCCTCTCTCGCTTCGTTTGGGTTTGTCCATAAACGATTATTTTAATTGACATAACTTTTTTATTTATGAATTGATTGAAATAAAACAAATACTCAATTTTAAGTAAAGGTAAACACGACACATTAGTGAAAACCGTACCCAAATCGGTTAAGCCGTTTCGGAGATGATAGCGCATAAGCGCACAGACAAACAGACAAAAATTCAAATTATAAAAATCTCGTACTTTACAGAGGAATGGATTTGTACGCTATTAATAGATATTATTTTTTCTTTCTTTTTAAAGATTAGCAATTTTATTAAAAGTCGAAAACAAAATTGTTTTAGTTATTTCTAGTCATATATCCAACTTTTCGTATATAAAAAGTACTTATATTTGTTATCTTCATTTCAATCCATCCATATCTAATTATTTTACAAAATACCGATGAATATACTTTTAGCTGATATAATAACAAAAAATGCTCTACTGTCACCATAAATTCATATTTTTACGAACTTATAGTGCCATTAAAATTTGGCTTGCCCGGGATTTGACTAGCAAACTGAATAAAATTCGCACTATGTGCTTTTCTCACAAACAAGCTTTTATATTTTTGTATTTATTTAACAGTATAATTTACTGATTCTATTTTCGTGAAAGGTATGTACATTGAACTTATGTATAATACTTTTATAAATAGGAGTGTTTATATTTCTGTGTATGTTTTAACAAAAGGAGTAACTTCCTGCACGCTGAAATTGGCATTGGCTTTGACGGATTTGGATGAAATTTTGTAAACAGATAGACAGATAGATCTAAAGTTACACCTGACCAAAGAGAGGGTAAGTATAGTATGTTTTATATTGATATGTGTATAAGTAAATTAGATGATTTATGTTGCTTTTTAAATATTAAATCTTTAACGATTTTATTAATAACGAATTTAGTAAAACGAGGAATTTCCAATTTATACTTGGATAAAAGTATCATATGGATATTTTGATAGGTGAAAAAAACACAAAATGATAATTTTCCTTTTTAATCTTGATATTTTCCTCTACGATACAAGGCACACACACAATTTTAAGTAAATTAATAGTAATTATAATAGAAATAATAAATAATAAGTCGCTTTAATGCAATAACCAAGGTGTAAACGTGTACTGATAAGCCTCGATATCTAATTGACAAAGGAAAACCTACGCTAACAGTTACTAGTTTTACCTGAACTTTACAATTAAACTTTGAACAGTGAAACTCTCATACATTTTATTATAAAAATGAAAGAACTTATATGAAAGTCTCATTCACGCCCTGTATACACTCACGCATTCATCTAAACATTTATAGTAACAACTAAGTTTTAATTATTACGTCGCATCATCCATTACAGATAATATGTATGAAATTAATCGTGTCAAGCTATATTTTACATCGGCGCTTGACTATGCCTATACTCCGATAGTACTCTTATTCCACTTAAGATATATCTATTAATAAATCGTGAACATTCATTTTTATAGTCAAGCGCCAATTGCACGCTCGATACAATGTCTAAATCTTATTTAAACTATTTTAGACATTTAAAGTCATTTCGTAAACTAAGCATTGATATAAATAACGCTATCATTTATACTTTATCTATAGTTTTAAACCTATCGCACTTAAAATAATAACTACCCACGTACACCTGATCATGGATATGAGATGCTGAGACTATATATTACAAACAGCTATTGCCCGGGGATCATTGTTTGGAGTTCCGACAGATGGATCATGTAAGTCGTAACCGTTGATAAATTACATTTATATTTTATATGAGAGTAAATTATCTAATAAAAATTAAATATACATTAAAAAAATCTTTTAAAATGTTTCGTACAATTTGCTTGTTTTCTTTTGTTTACTTGAACTTCAGTTTCACATAATAAGGATATAAATCAAAGTACAAAGTGACCCCTCCGACGGTATTTACAATAGTTTACATACATATATCTTAAGTATGTAACTTTAAAGAAATCGCTTACATTATATTGTACGCCAGAATTCTTTACTAGTTCAGTCAATAATAATTGTTTGTAAAATGAACCGTTTGAACTGTTAACTTAACATAGCTATCGTACACTATTTTATAGATATTCTAGTATCAGTTACATCTAATCATTGCACTAAAATTGAATAAGTTACTTGATATTGAAGATCACATATTCGTGTTGAAATTTTTACACGTGCTGTTTCAACTTAAAACAATATATTTCAATGAATTGTTGCGCAGTTTTATTGATACATTAAATTATTAATTAATTATAAATGAAAGTGTAAATAATCGACTAGTATGTAAAAAGTGAACCGTATACAAACGCTTGGAAAATTTTTAAAAGCAGTCTTACATCAATTCCAATCGTTTTTTTGATCAATTACAGAATTTTACAAATTTTAACGATATGAACGTCAGTACAAATAATATGTAAACTAAAGCTGTTGCTTATTTAAATGTATAAATCGTAAATCATGAGACTTAATTAATAAATATGGCATTTAACAATAAGTTTAAAGGTACATTTCGTAAAAGATTAAATGTTGACGAATTAAATACGTGTATCGTCGATCAAACCGTTGAAGCTTAAATCTAAAAATATTAAGAGATATTTACAAATTTTACTATGGAAGAAGAGTTTCTGCGACTTCGTCTTATGCCACGAAATCTAAGTTACTTCGTAAATAACAGTATTTACAATTAATCTCAAAGTAGAAATACTTTAACGAGATCTGATACACCAAAAATTAACTCTAAACAATTAGTTCAATACTTTTAATGTACACAAACGAATCGACTCGGAATAACGACGTGGCCCAACAAAAGTGTCAACAGCACTTTGCGAAGATACTTGCTGGACTTGGATCAACGCTCTACTTTTCTCTGAACTCTGGTTTGACGCTTATGATGGGTTTTCTCGTCTCGTCGCTGTTTTCGTATTGGTCGGGGTATTCCCCGGTGCTTGCCAGCTAAGTAGCAGAGCTGAACAACACCGAATTCTTGTAGTATCCGGCGCGGTCTGACAGCGGGCTCTTCACATCACGTTCCATGGCTTGTTGGCGGGACTTGCGCTCCATCTCCAACTCTTGCGCCAAGGATTCTGTTGACAATAAAAATAATCATCAATATTATCAAAAAAACTACAATAGTACATGGTATTAATTTGTGCCAATTCCAGTATCTTAGTGACGGGATGACATATACCAAATATTCACGCATTTCAAAATACGAGTGTGTCACCCCGGAAAATGTCATTAGTATCGTGGAGGCTGACATCAAACGAACTCCGCATCTGTATGGCACTTTCTAATTTAATATCCAATATTGCTCTAGTAAAAACGTACCAGTCTCTGTAACTTGGACGTTTATTAAATTGCGTGTAGGTTTTGTATATGTGACATGACTAATTGTTACCTAATTAATACAATATAATTAAATTTAAGAACTTATTCATATAATAGTATATACAATTTGCACGATGGCAAAGAATGCTACTAAGTTTTAATGTAATAGCTACATGTTTTTATATTTTAAGCTTCAGGAATTTTAAAATGCTGGATACAGTCATCTTCAACTTAAAGATTAAATAAAATAAAATTAAAATGTTCATCTCTCAAACGATACAAATAAGTGCAAAATGTGAAATGATACACCAGATGAGAATATTTTCTAATAAGATTTTGGATAAATTGACAAAGTTCGTGAAGAGGCAAGAGTAGGTGAGGTAAGGCAATTGTCTCCGAAAACGTCTACGTTTTACGAAATATGCTTATTCAATTTCATGCAACGCTTGCCGCCTCCTGCAATTTACGAGATATAAAAGATATAAACGGAATCAGGTTTTTTGCTTACTCTTAAGGAACATTTTCTCAACGGGAATTCAATTTCTGTACGAGATATTCGTTTACGATTTATGTTTTAAAAATAATATTAAACTGTCTGTTTAATGTTTTTCATAATAAATGATTGTGATTAACGTTTCTTGGTTGGACTCTATCGAACCTGCGAAATGTACATACTACTGTATTGTAGTAGGATGGACGATGGAGGAAAAGTAAAAATTGAAACAGTCAAAAAGTCATATTAAAGCGGCTGGCTTCTTTAGAATAAGCATTAAATAAATGATACTATTTGTATTTCATTTGTCATTTAAAAATACAATTATAATCCGATTTGTCTCAGCGGATACAGCTTCAGGGCATCACACTCACAAGTGTCGCTCATCGAGGGTTGTCCCGAAACAGAAACCTATTATCCCGGGCGAGATTATACGCCTAGGGCGTCACAATTAAATATTATACACTTAAAAGCTTCGGCCTTTGCCGTTTCACTTCGCTGCCACCCCTAAATGTCCCATTAGGTCTGTTTGAATACGTAATATTTTTACATTTGCCGCTCCTAAAACAGAATTGCCGGTTCCTTTGAGAGCCATAATCTATTTGTTCTTTGAAATAACTGTCACGCTTGAGCGCTCGAGTTAAATAAAAAGTTAGCCTTTCAAATAAGAATTTGTTTCTTAAAGCGTCTCCACGAATTAAACTCTTTTTAAAAAGTTATTAGTATTATCAAGTTTTTACAATGGTTATTATTGTAAATTATGACTGCACTTTTTATTTTTTACTTTTCTTATTCTAAAATTGGACCTCATTGATTTGGTTTTTTACAATAGCATTCCATAGGTTACGTTGCCTTCAAAAGCAAATCTGAAAAACTGTTCATTCGATCGAATCAAAGATTAATTTATAGAGTAACGAATTGATTTCGTAATTAAATAGAGTGTCGAGCAAGAAATTAGGCTTTCGATATTCACTCGTTTTAAACATAAATTGTTTCTCTTACTTTGATCGTATAAAAACTTTTAAATTCTGTTCAGGTCGATCCACCTTTTATTTTTCACGTTTAAAAATGTCATTGATCTGAAGTTTAATTTTTTGTTTAAAATTGTAATAACTTTTTTGGAACCTAATACTTTTTAAAAAAAACATCATCAAAAGCGATATTTTATCCTGCACAATTTAGAAGTAATCAAGGCCTCTGTTCTATAAGATCGTTACCTAAATTAAAATAATTAAGCTTTTACGAAAAAGTCTTCATTTTTGCTGAATTTGAGAAGGTTGTGGGCAAAAGGATGGTTTACACTTACACAGGTGATTATTGGAAGGTCCATTAGATTATTTTTTATAACATTCAGTGACTTCACTGGACAATAACATGCAATTAACAAAATTTTAAACATTTAAGATGGATGCTACTGTAGAGATGTGGTCCAGATGGAGCGTAGCTAATCTCATTGATTGAATTGAGTTCTTTTAAAATTCTAAGCTCTTTATTTTTTCAAAAAATCAATTTCATCGTGATAAAATTAGTCCCATTTTAATGCAACAAAAAAAGTTTATACGATTCATGTTTTTTAACTAGTAATTTTTAACAGTTTAACAAAGTTAGGCAAACTTGTAAGCAAATTATAATATACTAGGAGAATCCGCGGCTTCACTCGCGCTAAAACTACAAAAAATATCTAAAAAGGTTTCATACAAACTTTCATCGCCTATTTTACCTCTTCAAGTAATTCTGATTACAAATATATTTTTTTATTGTATGATAACGTGTTTTCCCGTGGGAATTAGATAATCTCCCGCGGAAAAAACTATGTCACTCTCCAGCCTTCCAACTATCTCCACACAAAAAATCACGCCAATCCGTCTCTCCGTTTCGACGTGAAAGAAGGACGAACAAACACACAAACAAACACACTTTCACATTTATAATAATAACTATTAGTATAGATTCTATAAGAGTAGTAAATATTATATAATAATTTCTTTAAACACGCCAATATTTTGTAGAGAGCGAACAAAAAGTTAATATCGTCAAAGGTTTCGGGCGCACCTGTGCTGTACAATTTTATTTCCATTCATTTCATAAGCGCACCTAAAAAGTAGCCGGAGAAGTTTCCTCTTTATTAATTTTTCAACTTTATATTACTTAACATCAGTTGGTTCATTCATTTCCACCGCTTTATGAAAAACAAGAATTACTGTCATTTATTTACGTGGAGGAAACGTTTTATAGGATAATATAAAATATCTTAATAACATAATTAGTAAATTATAATATAATATTAGAATTTTACAGTAATGGTTACAGAAATATACATATTTTATGTTGTTTGTCTTTTATGACTTTAGTCATTTTTAATTCAAAACTTTTGATTTATCTTGTTTCGTTTAAGAAAAATGTAGAAAAGTTTTCTAATTTACGAATAATAAAATATGTTTTTCTTTTACCGGCAGCATTGAGGATACTAGATAAAAGGGCCAAGTTTTAACTTTTATTTATACTTTGTTTTATATTTTTATTGAGAACGATCAAAATATTTTTATGAACACTAAAAATAAACTTCTTTATCTTATTATTCTGTATCTTATATTAAATATTTTCCGAGGGACGGTACCTGCTCTTGTAACTCATGGACGTACAGCGGTATATAGCTTAAAGTTCTGCCTGCTACTACTGCTATGCCACGGCATACCTTAAAAAAGATAGCTTGTATAACAACTCTAATATAAGCTCCTTATAATAAAAATAGTTCTATATTATTTTTTATTGAATTCACCGCGAATATAGAACCTACGTACCTAGTTTTGAATTGCTCTAAACTCCATTTTTAAATATTTATTTCTACACTTAAATATTTAAATTATTCAGAAGTTACATTTGAACAATGTTTTTTTAAATGAATTCATAGTAAGAATTCAATATACTCAAGTAACAGAATTAAATCCATATCTTAATTCCATTTGTAGGTCCGCAGTCGCGTGTTCGCGTGCGTGAGATACTTGGAGGGTAACAGTTAAATTAGTTGCAATTTCTACTTGAAAGCAAAGCCTTACTTGGCTGTAGAACAGGAAATGTTACTCGTATCAATTCTGTCATTTGTGCGTACTCCGTTTAAATACCAAATATTTGTCGATAAATATTTTTGGGTTATTGTTACAATTCATGCTAATATTATAAATGTAAAAGTGTGTTTGTTTGTTTTTTTGTTTGTCCGTTTTTCACATCGAAACGGAGTGATGGATTGGCGTGATTTTTTGTGTGGAGATCGTTGAAGGGCTGGAGAGTGACATAGGCTACTTTTTACCGCGAGATCTAATTCACACGGGAAAACACGTTATATGTAATATAATCCAAAAAAATATTTATGATCAGAATTACTTGAAACTTGGTATTAATGCTCTTCAATAAAATTAAATAAATAAGTGTTGTAGCATTTTTCGAAATTCATTCTTTAAGGGGGTAAAATAGGGCATCAAAGTTAGTGTGAAACTACAGTTTTAGAGATTTTTTTGTAGTTTTAGCGCGAGCGAAGCCGCGGGTTCTGCTAGTAGAAAATAAAAAGAATATTCCAAAAGTAGAGGTAATTATTACAAAATATATGTACCTATATACAAGGTGCAATGTAAATAATAATAGTATATTATAATAGTACCTATGTTTTGACTATATAAATTACAACAACCTAAATAAACAATCATTAATTTATTTGTAGGTAAATTAAATTATTTTTTATAAACAAATATAACACGAAAGAATTGACAGCAGAATTTAAATATAGTAAGCCCAATGTATTCAAACTGTAAAAGTGCAAAAGCAGTTTTCATATCCATCAAAGTCACCATAAGGGTGTGTCTGCACACAATAGTATTTGAAAGTCCACAGAGGCCTGTACATTTTAATGAAATTTCTGGGCTTTCCACAAAGAGGATATGAATGAAAAAAACTACCGCTTGATTCAAAAAACGCGTGAGTGAAGCGCTCTTCTTGTTCATAACGCTTCCGTTAGCTATGTACTAGAATATGGCCTAACAATTTTGTTTGAACGATTTGTAATTATAAAAAACTAGCGACTCACTCTCACTTCGCTCGGGTTACTAGCCAGCTTCCCAATACAAACTTTCATCCCCATTTTCACCCACTTAAGGGATGATTTCCGGGATAAAAAGTATCCTATGGCCATCCCAGGGTCTCATGCTATATTCTTACCAAATTTCATCTAAATCGGTTCAGTAGATCTAGAGATTACCCCCTACAGCCTCACGAACTCACAAACTTTACCGCTTTATATTATTAGTATAGATTAAGTGTTTTACTTCTTATAATTATTTTATTTTTAGAGCCATAATAAATAATATATTTTTTAAGATTTTATAATACAACAGGTATTAACTATTAAACTTAGCGATGGGATCAAAAAATAAAAATTTTAAAGTATCATATTTTACACATAACTAATGATAATTTTGTTTTGCTTTTCAATATAATTGCTTCTCGCCAAATAAAAGAATCGATGGATAAAATTCTCCCTAGTACGATTTCAACAACAATAGGAATGCGTGTATCGTTCATTTTGTGCTTTTAAATACTTAACATTCTCTATTCGTAATGGCATGTAATATGATGAGTATAAATTTCATATGTCGAAATTTTTATTCCTTAGGTACAAAAGACCCTTTGCTGCTTTAAATATGAATTGCATATGATGTAAATCATTTTCAAATTCTGTCTATAGAAAAATATTATTCATGTGTAATGTTAATACATATATATTACTCCATTATTTACCAATAAATTACTACTTCATTATTTATAGCTTGCAAAAATTAATATGTATTTTAAATATTTTACAAGAAAAAAGGACATACTAAAGGATCTTTATTTTATCAATTATTGTTTTTAGGTTGTTCCCCCATACAAACTTTCATACCGATTTTCACTCCCTTAAGGGACGATTTCCGGGATAAAAAGTCCTATGGCCTTCCCAGGGTCTCAAACTATGTTCTTACCAAATTACAACCAAATCAGTTCAGTAGATCCAGAGATTACTCCCTATAACCTCACAAACTTTACCTCTTTATAATATTAGTATAGATTTAAGGTATAACTTACAATTTGTGAGTGTAAAGTTTACCTTATTTATTATTGTTAAGATATAATAAGTTCTTAACACCTCCAGGTAAAATTCTAAGAAATCTATTGTTAACTGACACGCCGGCGTGTCCGCGGTCGTGGAGGGATAAATATATTAAGTATATTGTCGAACAGATTTAGCGTTGTCGTTTGATATAACCTTTCATTCGTTATGTTGAAAGAAAAGTAAGTAAAAGTAATCGATTACTTTTTAAATAATATTACTTAATATAATCGACATATACCAGAGTAATTCTGCCAGAAGGCTGCACCTCCGCTCATAATGTCGACGGGCGGCGGTGGGTAGTTCCACTGTGGCTTGTCAGGCGTTCTCGGCGGGTCCCGCTGGAATGGAGGTGAGGAAGTCGGCGGCTCTGTACTAGGCGGCTTGCTCTCTGTTCCGTTCTCACGCTCACGGTTCTCTTGCGGTACAGGTGTTAAGTTCTCTGTACAAAATCAAAATTATATTATTAGTTAGCCTCTTATAGGTATGTACGAATATTTGACATTTAAATAAATATTTTTAACTTCGAATGCAAAACGTGTTATTGTTTACAGCAAACGCGTAGGAGAGATTAAAGTTAGGTTTCTGACGTCTCAAAAGTTATAGATAATACAAACTATAAATACGATAATTAATTTTGTCTTCTCCATTCTACGTGACTTTGGCAAAGTAATCTGTGCACAACTGGCACTCTTTGACGCCATTAACAATAAAATTGAATTAAATAATTATATATAGTCTAATTCATTTTGAAGAAATTAGAAATTACAGATGGCAAGCATCTTACAATATATATTTTTGTATAATTTCAATTTGTGTTGATATAATTATATATTTTAAAAATATTTAATTTCTGATTACTACCTGTTTAAAACATTTAAAAAAAAAAACAAAGAAACAATTAAAATTTTTACGCATATATCTTTATAAAATGAACCCTAGTTTACTTATTGATTGTAGTTATACTGCCTCAATAGGCTGTTAATAAATGTAAGTGGCAAACAGCGATTATACAAGATATTGAACTCGAATGCGTGTTACTTCAGCACCGAACCCTCATTTCAAATGGCCTGCGAAACGATTTCCTGACACGGAGATTAGTACAAGCCTTCACTAGCGTTTACCACCCTTCTTACGTCACGCACTCCATACACATTCGCGAACAATTGTAAGACATGACATGTTGCTCTGTTGATACAAACTGTATTCTATTCTCTATAATTTATAGTCCATGTTTGCTTGATAAAGTTTGAAATCTTAAGATATTTCAATCGCATAAACATCTCAAGTTTTAACTGATATACAGATAGTTTGACAGACGGTAAGTTAACATGTCAGAGGCATTCGGTAATGCTGGTAGTTGTCAGATTTTCTAGTTGTTATACACGAATGGGTTATTTTGTTAGGATTATTGGAGAAACTGTATTGTTTTATATGTAAAAAATATAAAAATTAAATTATACCTTTTCATTGTTAAAGTGCATTTTTTATTATTTATTTTACTTACCAGTAACTATTCTGAGTATTTCAGATGGTGCCCCGGACTGTTTTAAAGCTTCTTCTATTTTCTGCCGTCTTTTTAATTCCATTTCCAGTTGTTCTTGGATTTGCTGTCTCTGTTTTCTCTCTTTTTTTAGTCTCTTTTGGTACATCACTAAAACAAAACATTAATTTAAAATAAATATTATCTACATTCCTTAAATAATTAAACCTAAGCTAGTCTTATCTTAATATAGAACAAAATTTAATATTTCAATAATTCTTTTAAATAAACATAATGTAATAAATAATATATTGAAGAGCTTAATAATCGAGTTCAAAAGTGTACTGTAGTTATAAGTTTTTAAAGGTATAGAGAAACGAATGAAATGTTAGATGTTGGATACTTTGTCTCTTTCTAACATTATTTAAATATTTCCACATAAACATATCTGTATGATTCGAAGAGAGAATCGTTTTGATTCGCTACAGAGACTGTTATAACGCAGTTATATTATGTTGTTGATAGTCTTTGATCGGCTATGGGATCGAGTATAAGCCTACTCCCTCTCTCGTAACGATGGAAGGAATATTACTATCTTTTTCTTGCAAAGGTTCGATTGACGAATGATTGAGTCGATGCACGTATTGATAGAGCCTTGTTTTCGATTTAAAACGGCGGGGATATCACGTGCGACAAGACAGGAGAGATAGCGAGTGTTAAGTTATTATTTGAAATGTTATTTTCACTTTTCTTAATAGTTTGCCATGAGATGCGACGATTCGGATTCAGAGGAGCGAGATTACAAGATAATTTTATATCGTGAGTGAGAAGTATAAAGCGATAGATGCTCAACGTATATAAGCACTAAAACATTTTTTAATTCACTATAAATTAATTTACCAACCAATCGACAAATGTAATTCGGTAACTGAAGAAATACTTCTAGGCTTCTTGAAAAAACAAAAACCCTACAAAAATAGCAATATGTGGGCAAAACAGTATATGTAAAAATTATCGAGAAAATTTTCACCAATCGTGTTTTCAAATTTGGCAATTCAAGATAAAGAAAAAAGAAACTCCGAAGTATCATTTCTCGAAATATTAAAATGGTAACTTAAACCGATTCTGAGATAAATAACGATGTATAGATACAAAATTGCCATATTATGTACACTTTTAAGCACAACCGTTCTTTATTTATTTATTTATACTTTATTGTACATCACAACCATAAAGTAAGTACAAATAAACAAAATATAAAAAAAAAAAAACAAAAACAAAAGTGTGCACAAAAGGCGGTCTTATCGCTAATTAGCGATATATTCCAGACAACCTTTGGGTTAGGAAATGTGGAAAACTATACAGGGTGGGTGGTGTAAATATTAAATATTATATACAATACATACCACAATACAATCTAATACTTAGAAATACTACACATATATCTATATATATATATATATATATATATATAAATATATATATATATAATATATCTATAAATTATACTAATACATATTTAAATTATAATTAATATAAATCTTGTACAATGTCGACTTCTCATTTAGAGTAAATACTTTTAATGATTTGGAACGTTTTATATGAACAGGCAAACTATTCCAGAGTTATAATATATCTTCATGTATTTATGTACGATCAAATTCACCTCTTGCAAAAATTGATATTGTATGACAAATATGCTGTTGTACCTACCTGTATTTTCAATATTTTTTATTCATAGTATTCTAGAAAGTTAAAGTTTAAAACTATCATTTATAATAATATGTACATATATACATAGTTATAGATCAACTAGTTAAGACAGTAGTAGTATTTCATAGAATTACATAAAAACTTTAAAAATAAGTAAAAACCGACTTCCAGGCACTAAAATGTAAAACATAACTAAACTGGGGTTTTCATTTAGAATAAATACCTAATCAGATATTTTCGAATTCATCATACATCACAAATTGATGATATTTTAACTATAATTAGAGTTCATACCTAATCATATTTACCTATTAGATATTCGTATCTTAAAATATAGTCGACTGGCATCGACTTCAAAAAATTTCCAAATCGGTTCAGACGTCTTCGAGTAACCGATGAACATACATAAAAAAAAGATTCCGACGAATTGAGAACCTCCTCCTTTTTGGAAGTCGGTTAATAAATAAATTGAAGCCTAAAATGCTAATTATACCGTGCAAGTAATGCACATTGCACGTACCTATACTAGCTTCCATAGTATAGCATTACCGGAGAATTAAAAATAAAAAGCACGGTCGTTTTCTCATTAAAGATTTGCTAGTAATTAATGTTCTTGCTAATGAGTTCGAGGTTCACTAGCGAGTGACTCCTACGCATCATTTGTCATACAACCTCCGACACGGCTCGTAATAACGCCTCGTTTTTGTTCGCCTTCAATTCTTAATATGATTTGAGAATTGCTTTTGTGCATATTATAAGAATAAATAGTTATATAATTAACATTGAATGAAAGAATAAAAGTTTAAATTTATTAATGTAGAGTGATTTTATCTTATAAAGCAATGTATGTAGCTATCAATTATGTAGCGTAACCGTTAAGGTAGCTTTTGTAGAGTTTGATGTGTTTTGTCTAAACAACTTACGAAGGTTAACAATGTATGTATTACATTATATTTTCAACTTGTAAAATAAGGATGCCAAACGAGTTTTAAACAATATAAATCGGTATATTTAGGATGAAAGGTGAAGCTAATACAAAGGTGCGACTGTGCCCAGAGGTCCAATGAGTGGAAAATTCAACGGGCCGTCAAGTCCGAACATTGGTACAGACCAACACCTCTGAAAAACACTTTCTCACTTCGTTGACGCTTATTTTTGGATCTTTTCATCTCGCCTCATTTCCAAATTACGCGTAAATTACCGATTAACCAAATAGTATTAATAGTATTCATAAAGATTATATAAAAACTGCTCCTACGAATAGGCGAACGAGATATTTAAATATCAGATAGCAATCAAATGTCTTATCGAACTCAATAAAGCGGGAGCGACGGCGCTCTATTGTTTTTATAAGTCAATATTTGTTCATAGATCGTCGGCGCTCTTTGAAAGTAATCCAGCTTCTCCACCTCGATAAGTTCATAAGTAAAGATGAATCGTAATAATTTTTCAATAGATTCGGCTCCATGAAAGCTTTGAATAGAGCTCTATTTCTTTATTGTTATGTCAAGACCATTGTTACTATTTTGAAGCAATCATATATAAATATAGGTAAAGTTTCACATATAAATATTTAAAAAGTAATAATATATTTAGGAAGTTTGTATTCAGGAATATAAGTACTAACTAAAATATATTATGTATTTTCTATTTTGACTTAATTTTCTTTATAATGTTTTTAATATCATTGCGATCAATAGGAGAGATCAACGTGTAATATATGAATAACACATATCTACATATTTATGCCTGCCATAACATCAATAGAACTGAACATATTAAGCAAAACAATTCGACGACCGAGCGCATGAATAAAAAGTAAAAACCAACCACCGAAATATTGAAGGAATTCGTTCAAAGGGGAAAAAATGCAATAAAAAGTCCAGCCCGATAGAGAACGAGAGTGTGGTTAAAAAGCAACGAATGAATATGGTTGCGAACATCCGTTGCAGACAAAAGTTCGGCTACTTGACTATGCAAATTATATTTGCGGACCGCCGCGGTTGAGACCCGATCTCCGACGTTTCGTTTCACTTTTACGTATATAACGTGTATTCTTTTCATATTTTCATCCGATTTTCTTCCCCCTCATTCATTTTGTTCCGTTTTTAAAAGTCGCAGAACAATACCGCTTTCTGCGGGGTTTATTCGCCGCGAGCAGTTTTCTTGTACGCTTCTTTTTCTTATTATTATTATATCTATCTCTTTATTCGTATCCGGTTCTCCTTTCTTTAATATTTTCAACTCATAAATGGTTGATACGGGCCCCTTGGGTTTGTGATCCAAATAACATGTAAATGAGTCAGTTTGTATACATTTAATTTGTTGTCTCAATATGGAAAGTAATCCGCAAAAATGAAACCACATACCTATTAACTATATTAAAACAATATGTCATGTAATAAATAATTATAATTTGTGAATAAAACTCAATGCTGCATAAATGATTTTTAAATTCAAATCGAGGTTCTTTTATGTTACAAAAATATCTTTTTCTTTACACATTCACGTCAATAGATAAAACGTTCCTGCTACATATTTGTATAAGTCACGTCATATTATGACTCACACAATAGTCTACCTTAGCCACATGAATACAGTTATAACCCTCGGATACGGATGCATTTATGGCAAGATTAAACATTATTATTGGCACGGTAAAAGTTTCCATACAAATAGTTCAAAAAGAATCAGCTAGCAGTCTACCTACGGTTTTAGTAAGCACATAGGTATACTTTATATCTAATAGTAGAACTATGATAATTACTTTGAAATTGATTTGCGGAAATTTTAATTATTTGTATTTCGACTGGTAATAGAGATTCTGATTCTGAGATACGACAGGGATGATAGTTTTCCCACTTGTGCTGTAACGTAAATAAAAATCGACATTTATGACAGCCACTCCCCTCAGTCGCGCCCGAACCATTTAGATAAGTCTTTTTTATAGTTCTTTATTGAAAATAAATTGCCTAGAATAAAATCAGACACAGTCGAAATGGCTTTCCGATAGATGCGTATGAAATAATATTTGGCAGATAAGATGAGTCAGTTATCGCGGCGTATGTTCGGTTCAAGGGGCATAATCGACTACAATGACGAAGTGTTTTTCTTTTTCGTTTCATATGGGGACATTTCAAAAGTTACGTAGCTTAATAATTATATTCTAAGTTTTGATCTAATATCCTTCTATACTTTTTTGAAAAAGTCGGTATCTCTCTTATACCTAATGCTAAATTGTAGTTTTATAATATCTTAAAATTTATTTCTTTATATATCGTTATATAGATATCTACATAAAAATACTAGTTAATTACTTTTAGTAAATAATGTCACAGTAATGTTCCGTAACAAAGATTTGTCGCAAGGTCCGCTGACAATCATTTTAGCTTTATCTATTTCCTCTGTTTTATTTGGGTACAATTTATGAGGCGAGTGGCTCCCGAGATAAACATTTT